TTGCATCCTATTCCCATAACCAATCATTCCTAAAAAGAGCATTAACATACTTCCAACTGATAAAAATCTGTGTTTTCTAGAAGTCCTGGAACTTTGATGATCTTTGATCCCAGCTCCTCACAAGTTAAGAGTTTCAGACTGAATAGTCTCATTATTTTCAAATTTAGTCCTCACACAGAAGTTACTCCTCTGAACAGATCTCTGGTTCCACCATGTATCTTGAGGTTTCCTACCAATAATTCAAGCATAATAGAAGCTATTTTATTCCTGAAAAGAATGACTGTTTCAAACATACTTCCTGAAGATGCTCAGCATTTTGTGGGGCTTTGTTGGCTGCACACAATCCTGGAATGGCGCCTTCAGGGAAAAATAGACTCTAGGCTTCTTCCCTGGGTGGAATCAAACAGCCACATTTACAAGGAAAAATAATTTTTTTTTTTTTTTTTTTTTTAAGATTTTAAGCAATGTCCACACCCAACATGGGACTCAAACTTACAACCTGGAGATCAAGAGTCACATGCTCTACAGACTGAGTCAGCCAAGCACCCCAATACTTTAAGCTCAACTGCAGTAGTCCTCAAAATATTTCTTTAAAAATATTTAATAACCTGGGGCACCTGGGTGGCATACTCATTAAGCACCTGGCTCTTGATCTTGGCTCAGGTCGTCATTTCACTGTTTGTGAGTTTGAGCCCTGAATCGGGCTTTACACTGATGGGGCAGAGCCTGCTTGGGATTCTGTATCTCCTTCTCTCCGCTCCTCCCCCATTTGTGCTCACTTTCTCTCTCTCTTTCTCTTTCAAGATACATAAATAAAAATAAACTTAAAAATATTTAATAACCCACAGCTTTGGAATTAAAAAAAATTATAGAATGTGGTATCAGACAAGATTTCAGAGGTCACTAAATCCAAATATATTAATTTATAGATGAAACAGATGAGGCTTACCTGATATACCCAAGGGCCAACTAGTTTTCATTAATTTATGTTGGCCTCAAATCATAAAGTTACACTGATGTTCTATTTATAAGCCAGGCACTGGGCCGGGGGGGGGGGGGGGGGGGGGGGGGGCAAGATTACAAATGTTATCTTAGTAAAATGATGAATTCATTTAATCTAAATCAATGAGATTTTTTTGCAGTGAAACACATGCATCAGAGAATCACATAAAATTCCTTTATATAAACTGTTTAACATCCTACTTTTCCTACAAAGAAAGCTCTCCTTTCTTTTAGGGAGACAGTCCAATGTATAGGCTAAGAATACTGGCTCTGGAGGAGCCTGGGTGGCTCAGTCGGTTAAGCATCCGACTTTGGCTCAGGTCATGATCTCACAGCTTGTGAGTTCAAGCCCTGCATTGTGCGCACTGACAGCTCAGAGCCTGGAGCCTGCTTCAGATTCTGCAGCTCAGTCTCTCTTTGCCCCTCCCCCGCTCATACTGTTTTTCTCTCTCTCAAAAATAAATAAAAACATTAAAAAGAAAGGTGGGGGGGAGGTACCTGAGTGGCTCAGTCAGTTGAGTGTCCGACTTCAGCTCAGGTCATGATCTCATGGCTTGTGAGTTCGAACCCCATGTCAGGTTCTGTGCTGACAGCTCAGAGCCTGGAACCTGCTTCAGATTTTGTATCTCCCTCTCTCTCTGCCCCACCCCTCAAAAATAAATAAACATTAAAAAAAGAAAAAGAAAGAAAAAGAATACTGGCTCTGGAGGTAGGCTACACAATTTAGATTCTTGATGTTGGCTCTGGCTGTGTAACCTTAGGGCAATTTACTTAACAGCTCTGTTTTGCTTCTTGATCTTTAAGGGGATAATCAAATTCTGGAAACAATCTTTACATAGCTGGTACATAGAAGTGCTCTATAATGTTAGGTACTATTATTTTCCTTAGGGAGTTTTCTTAACAAAACATAGGAAAGTAACCAAGCTATGGAGTAAGTGCCCTTTAAAAAGCAGCTATTAAAATATAATTGCAATCACTGTAGTAAAAGTTGATTAAATATAAAGGGTAAAGAGGAAAAAATAGTTTTTCAAAGGACAATTTATAAGTTAAATCCTACTTAAAGTACATGCACTAGAAGTTCTGCCTTTACTATTAAAAACTTCACTGAAGCTCATTCTCAAAATCTTTCAAGAAAGAAAATGGTTAAACACTAATGTCACAGTGTTTCTGGGTTTCACTAAGGGTCTGGCTTCAGTAGATTAAATGACCCCTTAAACACAAGTGTCATGGCCCAGTGGTGTCCCTCAAGAAGCTTCAGCCTAGAATCCCACAAATATATGGATTTTACTTTATAACAATTACTAGTGCTTTTACTCAAAGATAGCCTTTTTAAAAAGTTATGCAACAGGAAGAATATGTGGCACTCTCTCCCTTGCAAGGACTTCTATCAACTTGGGAAGCCATGCCAGAGTCACAGAACACAGGGTCTTAAAAGCTGTGTGACCTTGGAAAACTCACTTAACAGGTCTTTAAAATTCATTATCTCATCTACAAATTGGTGCTAACATCTACCTCTCAGATTTGGAGGTGATGAAAGAAGGGGGCAACTGAGGAGATAAACTAAGATTTATTTATATGAAAATGCTTTGAGAATGGCTCATACACATGTATACACTTCTGGTCCCAATCCTTTTCTCCCATAGGCAGGGGGAGGGGAAAGCATGTAGCAAGCTAAGGTAAACTGCAATTTGCATTGCGATAAATAAACCTTGATCATTGTTCCCATTTCAGGTTGTTTCTGGAATAGCAAAATCTTGCTACAGTCTCGGTTTTTGTTTTTTTTTTTAAATACAGGATTCCAGAGATCGCCATAATTCATGAAAAACACTTGAGGGCCAAGCATCCTCCTGCCTAGCACCCTCAAACTCATAACAAAGAAAACCACAATCCCTATTTATACATTTCTTCCCTCCACCAGCACAGACTGAATGCTGCCAAACATGTGATGGTAAAATATCTTTAAGAAATCTTTAGAGGTATTTTAAAAAGTTAATCCTATTTATGTAATCAGTATAAAAATCTGCTCTTCCAGAGCTGAAAAGGACTTTGATGAAAATTCCAATAGTGCTCAAAGAAAAAATTTAAATTTCAAGCTTTTGTAACCTGATACTAGACAGAGCCTTACAAACTATTAAGCTCATAAGGAAGGAAATTTAATCTATTCTAAGTATGGAAGGATAGAAGTGTCTGGGGCCTCTAAGTACACTCAGTCGCATACACTGATCCAGTGTCAAAGGCAGGTTAAAAAGGGGGTTAAAAGAAAAGCATGGTGCAACCTCAGCACAAATTAGGAACATCAAAAATGAACAAAACTGTCAATTTTGTTTCACCACAAACAGAACCATCTAATAGTATCTAACACATCCGAATAATTAGGGGGAACTTGCAAAATGAAAACAAAATGCAGGAATCTTATCCTCACAATGACAGTATTTGAAAAGAAGCCTTATTTAACTTAGAGTAATTAAAAATAATCCACTTCAATGAGGTCACAGTAAATCCATTTCAGTTTAGTAACTAAGAGTAATTTGTTTAAATTAGTAAACTTAAAACACTTTCTGGGATTTTTTTTTTTTTTTTTTTTTTTTTTTTTTTTTTTTTTTTTTTTTTTTTTTTTTTTTTTTTTTTGCTTTTGGAACCTAATCTATCTCTGCCCTATTAAATATCACTTACATGGACACTAATTGAATATTTAAAAAGAGAATTCTGATAAAATATTTTCTAATTCAGTTGACAGAAATCCATCACATCACAAAAGTCACTGTTGCTACCACTTTACAAGTATTATCTCATTCAGTCTTCCCCATAACCCTAAGAGGGAGGCATTATTATTTCTATAATATCCATTTTAAAGATGAAGAAACTGAAGTTTGTAGACATCAAGTAACTTGTTTAAGATTATAAGGCTGTGACTGAATCCAGGTTAATCTGCAGCAGGTACTTTCAATCACATTAAAAACAAAGTAAAAACTAATTTTTCAACTAGCTCCATGCAACTTTAAAGAACATCAAGAATCATATTCAAGATTGGCAATATTCATGAAAAATAATTTGTTTCTACCTACACATTTCTATTAAAAGCAGAACCTATCAAGTAGCAATTGACTTCTTTGTTTCCTTTCCTGTTTTAGATGTACATAAAACTAGTCTTGAGACACCAACACCGAAGTTTTAAAATTTAACCATCATTTTATAAGCCAAGACTCAATATCTCACATTTAAAGAATATGAAAGGTTTTCTGTAAATGACTCAGAAACTAAGCCTGCAAAAATGTGAATCGGTGATTTATTCTCCCTCAATATCCTCTATGCCCACCCTCAGAATCAGAAAAGAAACAAAATACATAACTTCCAGAGAGCAGAGGAAATACAGGAGAATTGAGACATTAGACCTTTCTCCTTATTACAATCATTTGGCTCGAAGGAACTGGAATAGTAAGGTGTTCGATTGCCTTTTACAAATGTCAGAATTATAAGTGACAATTAAAAAGGCATCTGCAATAAGAGTCCATTGTACCCGAAAAGCTGAATCAAATAAGAACATTTATCACGATTCCCAGGTCTCAGTTTCTAGCTTCCCTGTCAATTATACAGAGTCAGCTATTAATTATTAATGGCATGCCATTTGCACTGGAGCTCTTGAAAAGAGCCTCCTGCTACTAATTTTTGTTATGAAAGAAAAACCGTCCTTCTTTTCTAGGGAAACCACAAGCCTCTACAATCCCTCAGATGGGATATCGCATTCTGTCCTTCCCACAGGAGACTGTCAGGGCCACCTCCACATGAAGGGGAGGAGGAAGGGCTCAGGGGAGGGCGGTCCCCAAAGGTACCGGGGCCGGGGTCCCCGTTCCCCTGCTCCCCCAGCTGTCAGCGACCGGTCCGGCGGCTGGGCGGGGCCAGGCCCGGGAGTTCGCACAAAGCGAGCGAACGGGCGGGCGGACCCTGACCCGGGCCGGGGTGGGGACCAGGCGGGGCGGAGCGAGGCGGGGGACACTTACCCAGCAGCAATACGTTCTTCCCCGCGGGGAGCTTGGAGCGCGAGCGGGTGGAGACCTCGCTGAGGATGCAGGACCTAGCGGGGAGCAAGGAGCACTCTGAGGCCGGGGACTGGGACCGCACGGCGGGAGGGACGACCCGGCCTCGGCGCGCTTGAGTGGGGGCTGCCCGAGAACGCAGTGGCCTGGGCCCGGCGCCGAGCTTCGGCGGGCACGGGATCCCGAGGTATCCGCAGGGCCGGGAGTGCCAGCGGGGACCCGGGGAAGGGTGGGGTCGTTACCAAAGGTTCTGCCCGTCCTCGTCGTCGCCTGCTGCGGCGCCGCCGTTGCCCGATGTTAGCTCGTTAGCCAAGGGGCCGCCTGCGTAAGTGGAGGCTAATCCCGGCGGAGAGGAACCGAAGGAGCCGACTCGCCCCACAGCCGCCATCTTGGTCGGGAATCACACCACTCCCGGCAAAGCTGAATGAGCTAGGCGGCGGCGGCGGTGGCGGCGGCGGGAACCCGGATATGGAGCGTTCGGCACACGGGAGCGGGGCGGGGTCTGCGGGGGTGGAGCCGCGGGCCCTGCAGGGACTGAAGGAGCGAGGGAGGACGCACTGCGCATGCGCTGCTGGCTGGCGGGCGCATGTAAGGAATGCGCGTGCGCGGGCGACCTGGCTGGCGGTTGCGCTGCAGCCCCACTTCTGAACTCAGCGTAGTGAGGCGTCTCCCGCCCCCCACCCGCAGCTGTGGGCTGCAGCACAGCCGGTTGGGGTGTGTCAGGTGAGCAGTGCTCCCTCCCACTCTTCAGTCGGGTCTACAAACCCCGCAGCCGGCGTGGAATTCCTGCACTGTCATTGCTGTCCCCCCCCCCCCC